ACCACATGCCAGCCAGCCCCGCCCCCTGGTGGGCTGAGCTGGCCACACACACACACACACACACACACACACACATAAATAAATAAATAAAATTTAAAAAAATAATAAATCATATATGTCATCTCTTCAGTATTATCAATGTAACCAAACACGCAAGAGTTTTTTGAGCCCCTCCCTGGCCTGTGACTTGTTAATTCTATGGACAGTACTTGGAAGAAAGCTACCCAAAGACCAAAACTGCAGAAATGGCACAAAAGCTGAGAGACATCCACTCTTCAATTCCAAATGTCCTCCTGGTGTCCTACTCTGAGCAAAAGTAGACACTGGAAAGCAACCAGAACTGTTCCTGTTCAATTCAACACAAGTTTGTTGAGCAACTACTACATACCCAGCTCTGGCTGAGGCCCCTGGAATGTGAAGGTCAGCAACTCCCACAGTTAAAGGGTTTCCACGCATGTGGGAGGCATAGGCTGAGCACAATTTTAACTACAAGGCAACAAGGGCCAAACATCTTAGGGAAAGTTGGTTCACCTCTCTGAGTCACACTTTCTCAGCCCCCAAGTGGGCAGGGAGGAGAGGACAACCATTTGGTTTGTTCTCAGAGGCAGCTGGAACACAGCAGTGCATGTGAGAGCCCGGCAGAGGGCCCGGGACACAGCAGAAGGCAGGAGGTTTTCCAAGTGTAGGCTGAAGGCTTGAGAGTCGAGTCGCAGCCAACGGGGTTTCCTCAGGGGAAGGGCCACCTGAATGGGCCTGAAGGAGGAGGAAGAGTTTGCCAGACGAGGACCAGGTGGGGCCAGCGGCCTCCTTTCACCTAGGTTCTTAGGCATTTACAATCTCAGCAGTGAACACAGCTCTATCGGAGCGCTGGAGTTCTAGATTCTGAAGCAGGGGTGCAGGGGACTTCAGGACCCCCTGAGGAAGGACTGGGGATGCTGGAATCAGGTGCCGCCAGCTGCTGTGCGGTGGTGCCCTAGTGTCTGCATTACAAGCTCGCTGCATGATATGTGGAAAGTCAGACACCCCCTGGGGGGCCTTCAGGGCAGCCCCCGAAAGACGTGGGTGACCCAGCTATACCTCTCCTCTCCACATACCCAAAGGAAGATGCTCCACAGGGACGCTGTGGCACAATTCACAGCAGCCGAGTTACGGAATCAGCCTAGTGTCCATCAGCGGGTGAACTGATAAGGTGGACGTGGTTTTTATTAGCCATAAAGAACAAAATTAATCCATTTGCAAAAAAAAAAAAAAAGTACAGAACCCTGAGACCATCATGGTTAAGTGAAATAAGCCAGACTCAGAAAGTCAAATAAGGATGTTTTCCCTAATAGGTAGAATCTAAAAGCACAAAAAGATAGGGTGAAGGTAAAAGGGTGATTTTTACTTAGACAGGAGAAAGGGAACTGGGCGTGGCGGTGCATGACTGTAATCCCAGCACTCAGATTGCTGCAAATCGGAGGTGAGTTTGGGCTACACAGTGAATTCAAAAACAGCTTGAAAGGGGCTGGGGAGATGGCTCAGTGGAATAAGCACTTGCCTGGCAAGTGCAAGGGCCTGAGTTCAATCCCCAATTCTGCCAAAAAAAAAAAAAACAAAAAAACAGCTTGAATTGGGGGGAGGGAGGTGGGGAGAAAGAGAGAGAGGGAAGGAGAGGGAGAGGAGGGGTAGGGGTGGGGAGAGGGGAAGGGGAGGGAGGGGAAAGAGAGAGAGAGGTGCCATGCTAAGAGTGCTTCCTGCAGGTACAGGGTCTGGCCCGTGTTGATTGATCCTGTAGGTACTGTGGTGTCAGTGAAACCCGCTCATGGTCTCCCATTTATACCTATTGTTGTAGTCAGGATATACAAAGGCACTGATTTAACACAGAACACCTAACTAACAGAATTATTTTATAATATTCAACCAAAGAGTCAAATGCAATAGTGCAGAAGATCTGCCCATACACTAAAGGTCCAAACAATCCAGCTGAGGGCTGGGTCCCACGGCCGCGTCTCATGCAAGTCAGTACCACGGATCTGCACTGAGGAGGCCCAGAGGTCAGCAGCGGAAGCTAGGAAGTCTGCACCAGGGGCCGGAGGATCTGTGCCAGCAGGCTGAGGGATCTGCACTGGAGCCAGGGTAAGGACCAGAGGTCCCCTGTACAGAACCACAGCCACCCTCAGTGACTGTGAAGTCCCAAGCTCCTCCATTAGTGAGAACAGCTGAGTTCACAGCAGGACAACCAGCACAGCAAGCTTCTCCAGAAGAATCACAACCCGCCATTTTCCCCTCCCATTCTCCTTTGGTGCTGTTAGCAACCATCCTCATGGGGGGCCTCCTGCACCCAGCACCATGCTGATTCAGTTCAGCTTCGAGCTACAAGTTCATTAGTTAACCTACTACACCTAGCTTATTTACTCATTTTTTTTTTTTCTCTTTTGAGGTCTCACTACACATCCAGTGATGCCCTTAAACTCATGGGCTCAAGTGATCCTTCTGCCTCCTCCTGCAGGGTAGACTGGACACAGACGCATACCATCATGCCCAGCTTATATGGCAACTTCTGAGGCACACAGGACAGGGGAAAATTCTCCTATTAGTAAACAGACAGATCAGAAGAGACAAGCACTATGTAACACTCTGAATCCAGGATTCTGAACCTAGGCCTTAGGGCAAAACTCTTCACACGCAGTTTAAAGCATGTGTGACAAATAGGCTTTGTCTCACTTGCCACCTGGAATGTCTGCTAGGGTCTGCCTGGAGCACTGTGAAGAGAAGGGTGATGTAGCAGAGCACGCGGGAAAGGGCTTCGGCCAGTTAGCAGCTAGTGCCGGCTGCAGTGTAGGGGCAGGGCAGCAGGTCTTCCTGCCCAAACTAGCCCGTGCAGTTCCTGAGCTCCCGGTCTCTTTTGTTGGCTTGTGGTACTAGGGATGGAACCTGGGGCCTTTGTACAGGCTTCTATCCCCAATCCTTTTTAAAACTTTCTTATTTTGAGACAAGGGCTTGCTATGTTGCCCGGACTGGGCTCAAACTTACTGTCTTTCTGCCTCAGCCTCCCACAGTGGGGGGATGAGGCATGCACCAGCATACCTGATTTTCTGTTGCCTGAGACACTGCAGTCCTTAAGCTAGGCTCTTGGCAGGGCATGGTGAGGAAGTGAGGCTCTGGATGTTTCTGTAAAGAAACAACATCTACAAAGCACAGATTTGAAGAAAGGCAAAGAGCAGAAGCCTGAGAAAGGAAGGAAAAGGAAATTCAGAGGGAGACAAGGTTATTCCATGAAGATAGGGAAGGCTGGGTCTATGGTGAGCCTTGATTAAAACGTCTTGGTGCTGTGAAGCATTAGGTTGGAAAATGCCAAGTGTACTCCTGATGACCAGGGTAGCGACATGAAGCAACAATCAATCTTCCTCTGGGAGAACCTATCACTCCCTTCTCACTGCAATGGTTCCTATCTCAGGGATATTGGACTTCATGATGCAGATGAACAATTAAAGCAGGAGAAGCCTCTGTTTTCTTCTGTGGCAGTTACAATTTGACTTCAGTCCTGAGAAAAATTTCAGGTCTTGAAACAAGATATCTGCTCCTTTTCCAAAGCCCATGTTTTGAAAAGCATTTATAAACCCAAATCTCATACTCTGCACTCTAGTTCTGCTTTTAAGATACAACACACAAGGTGTTTCCTACTTCATGTATCTTGGGTTCCATATAAATGCACACAGCTATACCTTGACGGCAGGTTTTTCATAAACATTCACCTGTAAATAACTGGTTCTTCAGAGTTTTAGAAAAATAGTGCAATGTATTAAAAATCAAGTGTTAGAAAATTTCATGATTTCATCTATTTTAGAATTGAACAATTAAATTTATCTAACCCTGAAAAAAAAAAAAAAG